GGCTTTGGGTTCCGCGGAGGTGGTCGCGGGGCTTGGTCGCCGCCCCCGCCAGCACCGCTTCTTCCGTTAGTTTTCTTACGGTTATGGTTATTACCACTACCGTTTTTTTTAGGGGGGGCCCCAAGGGTGGTTTCCCCGCCGGCATGCTCTTCACCCTGGTTGTTGTTTTCCAGCCCTTTTCCGTGGAATTCCCAACCTTTGGGGGGGGGAAACCGGGGGGGGGGGGGGGAGGGGAGGAGTCAAGCCGTTTAAACTAGAGTAGGGGCAATGTGTGTGTGTGTGTGTCAACATGTGCGGAGAAACAATGTTCACGTTCGCTGACGCGTTATTCACTTGTGCCATCGGGTGATAGATCGGGACGGGCGGAGAGGGCGAGAGACGCGGCAGCGGTCAAGGGAAGGAAACGCGAACGACAGAGCCGAACGATGAATCACCGGTGACGAGCAGCAGCAGCAGCAGCAGCAGCAGCAGAAGGAGCACCAAGAGCAGTGAAAGAAGCTCGGAAAAAGCAATACTTGTATACTGGAGACCTGAGCAAACAATCAATGCGACAAGGGGGGAGGCGACAAAACGAAATAAACCCATGATCAAGGCAAGCCGGTAGACATCGAACCACGCAAGCGAACAAAGAAAATACCTCTACCGCCTTGCCTGATGGCCAATCATGTTCTCGGACACCAAGGGATCGCAACAGCAGTTGTGATAACAACACCAGTCTACGCCACGTATCGTCGTACGGCAGAGCCGTCGTGGCCCCTTCTTACCCGCAGCACCCGGTGCCGTATGCGCAGTAGCCTGATCGCCTGCTTTACCAGCCACGGGTCTGGCTCCCTGCCCGTGTCCCCCGCGAGGTCTGAGGATAGCAGTAGCCCGTCCTCGCCGTCCTCGCCGACCAGGCAGGAGTCGATCCTCGCCTGGATCTCGATGATCATTCGCATGTGCTCCATGGACGACCTCAGCTCTTCAACCTCTGCGTTCTGCGGCCAAAGAAGGGTCGAAGACGAACGCCAACAACAGACGAAAAGAACGGGTTCGGATCGACGCCTAGGCGGCGAACCGGCACCGCGTACAATACACGTGCTGCACATAACCTCTGCTGACTCAAAGGCAGAGGCGACCCCCCACCCCCCCACCACCATTAGACTGCATGCGTGGGCTGCGATGCCAAACTGCTGCTATTTCGACAAGTTTATCAGGCCTCGATGCGATCAACCTCGTAGTCAGCTACACTCGCACGCACACCTGCATGTAGAGCCTACCATGTACATCCCCATCCCTGTACATGTATCAGCCTGCATTACTTGAAACTTTGCGGATACATGTAGAACAAACGCATACATTCGGTGAAGGATAAAAAAAAGACTACAATAGCACAGCACTACTGTAGCACGTAGCGAAAAACTGCGGTATTCCTTGGGTGACACAAGGTACCACCCCACCTAGACCGATATTGAAAGCTCGGCTACATGCACAACCCCACGAAGCAAAACTCCTTTGATGCTTTTGCGGAAACATCTCGACGAGATGGTTCCAACGCCACCATTTTCGGCACCGCAAAAAAGGTCGACCTATTGAAAACCGGTCAAGGGGGTGGTATCTTGTGTCACCTACCACCCTACAACGTACGGAGTATCTAGTTCTTTACAACGAACCTCTTCGGCGTTTCAAAATCCATGTGGAACATAGCAAGCGTTTCGTCAGAGAAAAAAACGCGTGCTTGGGACACGGCGAAGGGACAGACTCTGACATAATAAAATCATGCAGCAGTCCAGTTGACGGATAGAGGGGGGGGTGTACTGGTGCTGTTAGGAGTCTTGTGCTGCTTAGCGAATGATCCAGAAAATAGTTGAACATGTTTGTGCGTGTGTAGGCGGTCCGCAAGGCTACTGAGCAAAATTGAACAAGCAAACATGTGGGATAAAGTAAGTATTCAATCCGTGCTTTGGGGTGAAGGGATAGGGTTAGGGATAGGGTCTGCGTGCCCCCTCCCCTATTCTTTTTCCAAACACTCTTAGAATCCTGCGTAGGCGGTCCCCTACAGAGTAGAGTAGCGGTTGCCCCAGCAACAATAATATTTGCTGTTTGTCCGAGAAAATGCCTTTGAGGGGCGAGCTTGCGGCAAAACCTCCTTTCACCTGGTCGGACACCACCCTCTCCAGGCGGTTTATTCTCCGCACGAGGCGCGAATAGTCGTCTTCTTCCGATGGCTCCGCTTGCAGACGAGGGGAGGAGCGCTTGGCAGCTGCAGGGAGAGCGCACAGCAGAGCAGGATCACGGGCGGTGACAACAGGCACCACGGCTGGGTTTGGGGCGCCGCTCCGTCGCCGGCTTGCAGGACGTTGCTACACAGGTTTGTGGGCAGTAATGTGTACCTTGCAGGATATTATCGACCACCGCTCTTCTCTACAGCAGTGTGGGCATGAACTACTGCTTTCGGCCGTGGGACAAGCAAACAGCACGTGGGTTGGGTGCATGCCGCAGCATGTGTGCACACCACGTGGGTTGGGTGCATGCATGCAGCAGCGGTATGCACAGCATACAGAAACACCCCTCTCGAACCTAACGTTCGATTTGGTCCCGCTCTCGTTGAAGAAAACTAGGGCGCTCGGCACGTCGCACCCTTGTGGCCATTGATTGATAGCATGCCCCGGCGCCTGAAGATCAAGGTCTACTGCCCAGGGGCCACCGACTCACCTCCCCTCGAAGCATGAACGCCCGAGGGTGCGGAGATGAAGGCGTGTGCGCGTTGCTGCGACTCGGCTGCGCAAACCGCCACCAGCAAGAAGGCTCCTTTCGTAAACCTGCTTCTTCGCCGCCGCCGCACGACCAGTGCTTTCCGACTAGCGAGCATCGTAACGACCGGCTGGCGCACCCGCCCGCTGCTCTTCCTTTCCATCTGTTGGGGGGCGCGGGTGTGCAGCAACCCAGCCCCTCGTCTGCTTGCTGCTCTCGCTCCCTCATCTCTTCACAGCAATTCATCGTCCGGTTGATCTAATGTTAACATGACAACGCCTACTTTCCTAATTTGGGGGGCTCACAAAAAAATAGCGAAGCAAAAAAAAAAAAAGCAGGTTCCACCGTTCCACCGCGAATTTTCCCCGCCCCGCTGGGTCCCTCCACCTCCGCCAGTCCCTCCGCCGTCCGCCAGGAACTGGTCCATCCGCCGCCCGCACCTATCCGCCCACCACCCACAACCACAACCTTCTACCACCTTATAACCACAACCTACCGCCACCCACCTCGTTGTGCTAGACGGTAATTGTAATCAATTCTGCCGCTGATCCTGCCTCCTGCTGCTGCCGCTGCCGCTGCCGCCTGAAGATGACTACTCAAGAGCTCGTGTTTATCGACCCCAAAAGCATCAACGTGTGTGAAGTGTGAAGGCAATGCTTTGTTCCCCAAAGGGGACAACAAGTAGGCACGGCCTCCTCGTGTTTGCCGTGTGTCGCTACATGTGTGTCGTGGTCGCAGCAGGTTGACAAGGAAGTTGGATCCTTTGCTGCTATTTGTATGATACCGCAAAACTCTCTATTTTTTCGTAATTAATTTCAGCTCCAGGGTGACTAAATACACGCGCTATGTCAATTCCGCGACCAATTGCTGTTGGGAATGGAAAGAGGCGCACCTCTGTGCGACGGAGTACGGAGTGGCACTGCATCGCGGGCTCGACTGTAGGATACGCGATTGAAACATCATGAATCGAAGTGATCGTGATATGCATATGCTCTCCTTCTTCTGTGTTCGACGAAACAGGACTCTCAGGTGGATGAGGTGACTCAGGTCGTGAGCAAGGCGTTTCAAGACTTCAACACCTCCATCAACACCCCCGTAGAGGTGTACGAAGAAGAGTTCGGACACCCTGCGATAGGCCCGACCGTTATTCAAAGGTGAGGGCCCGAAACGAAACCAGCACGTGTGGACCGCGGCGCCCAAAGGCAAGCCAAGAACGGTCGCAATGCCAATCCTTGGGTTCGGAGCAGTCGCCGTTCTTTTACAGACCCCCTTGGATGCGTCGGAAACTGGGAAAAATCTACGTTTCTAGCAACGCGCCAAGACATCCCTCCTGTTCCGCCCGTGCGCGCCACCCACTCGTCCACCCCCCCCGCTTCCTTCCGCGTTCCAAAATTCACACCCTTGTTTGCCAGCATCTGCAAGTCATACGAGGGCTACGCAGTGGTGGAGGACGGCGGGGCCGGCAAGATCGTGGGCGTGTCCTTCGTCGACGTGCACGCGAAGGGTTCGAAGGTGGCCACACTCGGGCCCGTAGCGTCCTTGGCCTCCGGCGCCGGCAAAAAGTCGTTCGTAGCCGCTTGCGACTACGCCGAGGAGCTCGGCTTCTCTACTCTGGTGAGCGAACAGGGGCGACCAAAAGGGCGCGTCTTGGGCGGGGGAGCTGGCCAGCAAAAGTTTGGCGACCGTCGCTGGTCATCGACGGTCATTTCGTGGTAGAAGTTTGACTTTTTGTGACAAGAGAGCTCAATCTTGGCGTACGCTAGTTTCTTGCCTCTCTCCATTGCAAAGCGAGATTCTTCGGCGGAAGCCACTCGCCGTGTGTGTCCTGGTCAGCCAGCCTACCCCGCCCCCCCCCTCACCTCTTCGTCGTTTTGAGTATACCTCACCCACGTGCATGTCAGTCAGCAAGCGTTTGTCGATCGGTGCGTTGCTGTCGATGAGGCGTGTGCTTGCTCCCCTCTCTTACTCGCCTCGCTTCCTCTTCGCTCTGTTTTGTTGCGCAACCGATTCTCTCTTACCTACGGCCCGGTCTGGCCACAGATCCTGACGCAAATCGCCGCCAACTCACGCTCGTTCTCCCTGTACGCCAAGCTCGGATTCGAGGTGAAAAAACACCTCCCTTGTTGGTATTTTTGTCTTTGCACCGTACGAACTGTAGACGGCATGATTTGCAGGGCGCTGAGCACTCGGGGCATGGTGTGTCCAGTCGCTACACACAGGGCCGGGGGTAAGGGCCTTCTCTCCTGTATCCCAATATGCACCTGTCGCCCCCCAGCTCCCGCGACTTGACGGCCTTTCCCCCTCTTGCTAGTAGCTCGCAATGACTCACTTTTCAACACCGACAGGATCAAGTTCCGTACGACAAATGTATCTGAAAGGTGACCAACGGTTCGAAAAAAAAGGGGCCTCATTTGCGCGCCCAACGCTACCGTGTAAACGAACAACCATCGCCGCAAAAATAAATCACCACTAATATTTTTTTCCTCGCCAGACAAAGCACACGGTCCAATACATCGGAGGATTCTTGGAGCAACCGTCTGAGGGGAGCCTGCCGCTCCCTCCCGCGCCTAGCGGGGTAACCCTGAAGGCCATGGTCGCGGGAGATGTGGAGGAATGCGCGGAGCTATTTCTCGAGGCACACGGGAAAGACTGCGGCTGGGACCGCCGGGCGGATATCACCGGTTGCTTGGGGTCCGGCTTCCCGTTCCCTATGTAAGTTCGGACATCAGCCGAGCAAGGGGGAGTGAGTAAGGCATAGGGGTGGGTGGTTTTTTTCATCGCGAGAGCAGACTGTTTGTTGTCCCGGGGTTGCGTGGTTGACTATAGTATGTGTGAGAAGGGCATTGGCTTGTCAATTGCTCCCGCAACATATGTACTCGCAACAGAAGTCCGTCACCGTGACTTTGCCCCCGCCTTCTCCGTTCGTTCTTCGTGCATGGATATCATCGTCAACGTTACACGGTGAACGTTCGGGGGGTCGACCGAACAAACAGGCTGGTGGCCCGAGATGCAAATGGCAAGGTGGTTGGCTACTCCACAGGTGGGCGATATGTATATATCCTGTGCCGGCACCGCGTATCATCAAAGACTGACTACCCATTCGTGCGGCCCTCTGGAAAGCGTTTTTACATGGCGCAACGTGAGGGGTCTTCACTCGAATAGACCAGGATGCACGTTGGTTGGCACAGAACAACCATGGAGAAGAGGAGAACACCGCTACCAAACCAACAGGAAGCAGAACAGAGACAAGAAGAGGATACATGTATACCAGGGTACCATCAGGTCAACAAGAAACGATGCTGAATCGGGGCGGAGAGGCCATGACGTCATATTGGAAGACCTCATGCTTCACCCACCTAGTACTGGGCCAAGGGCCACTGGGCGACGATGCGCGCCTTGCCTCGAGCGGACGTAAAAAGACCTGTAACATCACAACGCGTCCCGTACGGTGTGCAACCAGGCCCATTTCCCACGAACCATCAGCACGCCCCCCACCATCCATCTCTCTACGCGTTTCTTGCACCGTGACGTGCGTGCCCATCATGATATACACCCGGTCGCTCTCTTAACGTTGAGTTTATCATTGTTTGCTATGCCTTTCCTGCGTCGTGCGCGCTTCCGTGGTTGGGGGGCGGTGTTGGGGTTCGGCCTTGCTCCGGGGGATCGACATCTGTTTCGGGTCCGCGACACCCGTAAGGTTTCTTTATGATTGGACATACCGTGGCCAAGTCTCAGGACATCTTCTGCTACATGTTCCGAGAGGGCTCGAAGCTGCACAAGCAGGCTGGACTGCCGTGCCCGAAGTAAGATTTCCCCCGCTCCGCTCATTCCTTGTCAGTTTTGGCTCCATGAAACACTCCGAAAGCCTTCGGAGATCGCGTTGCTCGAGGTCGTGTTTTCCCATCAATCGAAAACAACTTGTTGGTCTCATGGTTCACCATGCTTCCTCTGACTCTCAGCTTCGGCGTTGTGCTTGGCTTGAGCTCGGGGCCACGGGGACCGACTCCTCTCACGGAGCCCCTTTCTTCCTTTCAATGGGCATCTTGTTTTCGGCGTGCCGTGTGTTGAGTCCGATGGTCGTACCTTCCGGTTTGTATTCAAACCGGGCGGTGAAAACCTTTGACAGCTAAGGAGGCGGTACCAACTTGTTGACTGTCTAAGTCGGCTCGCCGCTGACGAACCATTTCATTGTCTACAGACTTAGTGTCGTTTCTTTTCCTGGGATACAGTAGACGCGAAACGTTTAGGTACGCTCTTTCCGCGCGTTTGTGGCCGTTTTACCTGTCGAGGTCGCGCGACTCTCAAGAGATTTTCAGCTATGTTTAGGGAAGAGATCAACCAATCCCAGGACCCCGACTAACGGCCCTGGAGCAACCGCACCCTGCCATTCGGGCTGTAGGGTAACCCCCCCGCCTGCCACCCTACACACCCCAGCGCAGTAGACACGAATCGTCCATGACGTGGCGTCTCTCGTGTGTTGATGGATGTGTGCATCAATACGATACAACTTGTTCATTGATCATGGTGTGGCATGCATCCTACCGTGCGTGCGTTTCAGGTTCTACTGCCCCGTCGAGTTCACGGGCCTCTTGTCGTGGTGCTTGGCTCAGAAAGGGCTCAAGGTTTTCCGAGCGTCGCTCATCATGGCCAGGGGGCACTACGAGCACACCCCGTGGCCGAACGCCGCCGGTCACATTGTGGCCCCGAGCACCACCGGATACTGAGAGGCCGAACATTGAACCTTCACAGGGCGACGAAGCAAATATACGTCGCCCGCTACGGTGTGTCTTTCTCTGTTTGTGTCCTTCTCCGTCTCTTTCCCTTCTCTCCATCTGATCTCTTCCTTTTCCTTTTCCTTTTCCTTTTTCTGTCTTTTTCCAATCTAGGGTTACCTCGTATAGAGTGCAGGGAGGCGAGCGGAGTGGCCTAGACTATCTGTCGTTGACTTTAATTGGCTTGCGGACCCTTCGGGTCCATTTTATTTTCGTATACCTTTTTTGGGTAAGTTAGCCTGTGCCTACGGGAATCGACCGCGTCAAGTGTTTAGACTAGTGCAGACAGAAGAAGGCACTGGGCAGAGAGAACGGAACGGTTTTCTATGTGATGATAACAACAACAACAACAACAACAACAACAACAACTTATCAAGGGTGTTGGCCTGTTGACGCTGTTTTTTCAGGCACCCTGTTGTAGGGATTGGGATTGTGCCATGTCACTTTTGTGTCTTGTTTTTGTGCCACATTCTAGTGAGTGCCGCAGACACAGGTTGTGTGTCCGATGAAGCCGTATGCCCTTCGCTGTAAATTGTTTTTGGAGATGTGCGGTTGTATGCCACAACAGGGTAGCTCTGCGCACCTACGTGGCGAGCGTGCACTGGATAGCAAAAGGGCGGGGTGTGCGCGTGAAACGAACGAACGTCTGTACTGCGGGCGTTCGTCAGTGGAAATGTATGCTACAAGGGGGGGGGTTGTGGAAGCAAGGAAGGAGGCGATACGTTATTCTTGTGGGCATCGTACATTCGTTAGAGTCGTGCTCTGTAGGACGAAAAGAATGTTTGCTCCCTTCGAATACTCGCATGTCGAAGACGTTTCCCCCCCTCCTTCCCCGATGCTGCCGCGGCCCCGGAGGAGGGCGTGCTTGTTGTTGACGTACTATTTCTTTGTCGTCATCATTGTTGGTGGTGATATGATGTGTTTTGTTTTTCGTTGTCTTCCGTTTAATCAAACGTACGTCGTGCACTACCATCTGTACGGCGTGTCTGCCGGTCCAACCGACACGGACGCCTTCGGTGGCCATAGGTCGAAACTTTTGACTGTTCTAGGCGAAGGCTGGCGGTAGGGGTTGCAGCGTCACGCGAAGACTCGCGCCCAACTCATCCGCTTCGTCAGGAATGTTCGGCAAGATTCGTTAGGCTTGTTGGCTTTCTCCCACTACACCGTTGACCGCTATCTAAGCGGCGGATATAATCCTTGGCCAAAACAAGAGCTTGGCTTCATGAAGGTCTAGAATGCCTTGCTTTTGTTTCGCACGCAACTCCCGTGACCAACTTTTCATCATCGGATTGAAAGACCCGATATCTATCGTACCCGGCACCTACCTACAGGGCAATTAACACCTGTACAAACCCGAGCTACACGAGTTAGCTCTCGGCAGACAGAGAACGGCTGCTGTGTGTGGCGTCGTCGACCATACAGAAAGAATGTCCTCCAACCCTTCGCGTGGTGGCATCTCATGTCTCTATCATATGTCTCTTGAAAGCTGCAGATTGTCGCGGTGGTCTTCACACAGACTCCCGAAGAGAGTATTACCGGCACGACAGCTGCCTCTTCTTCCGCAAGGATACACATACCATGGTACGCCACGGAACACCTGGCGTGTGCGCAAGGCAATACTACAGCGCGTGGACTGAATGTAATTCAATATTAACCGATTTCGAATACTCGTGAGTCACGCTAGAGGCAGACAGAGGCAGGCATCTACATGTACTCTCGCCTGTGGCTCGAGTTCAGACAAAATCGGACACCAACTGAGCACTACCGGCCTCCAAGCAGCTAGTTTGCCCACCAACAGACAAAATGTAAAAAACAAGAGCTGGAAAAGCACAGCAGCAGCAACAGCAGCAGCAGTGCGTGCTAATTTGATTACCATGGTACAAGAAAAAGCTAGAAAAAAACGCCTACGAAATGTAGACTACAATAAAAGCGAACTCCACGGACCCAACCAAATTAATTTGCAATATATATTGTCACACCAATACGATGCACAGCACCACCAGAACAGACGACAGCACGGCGCGCACACCCAGCCCCTGAATATCACTCATACCATCCACCAACTGAAAATCACCCCCAACACAGCTTATACTACAGCTTGGTGCCGCCAAAATGAAAAGCGGCGTCTAGCAAACAGACTCGGGCGTTAGCTGCAGTCCAAGCCGAAACGTTTCTCTCTTCTACCCCCGCCGTTGTCGTGCCAGTGCTCGTTGTCAAGCGTGGGCGTGGAACACCCCACACGACGTGCGGTTGACTCTATGCATGTTCGCTCTCTTTTTATGTACACGAAGGAGGAGAGATACGTGTCTAGGCGGCCATGGAGACAAGACACTCACCCCCCTTTCTGGCTCTCCATTCAAACCCATCTGTCGATACATGTACGGTTGCCCAATTTGGCAAAACACGGCACGCAGAACCAGGCCCATTGCACGCGGCCAGCAGCGCCAGCGCTAATACAGCAAGCACGCCTCCTGTAGCCAGCCACATACATCACCAGAAGCACCGACACCACGAAGCAAAACAAAAAGCGCGAACGCATCCCGGCGGAAACGCTTTAGCCGCCTTCTACGAAAACACCAACTTCAAATGGACCCCCAGAAACTACACTACATCCCCGCTACCCCCTTCGATTCACCCCTCCAACAGCCAATGTAGCAGCAGAATTGCCGAAAACCAAAGTCCAGCGAAGGTGGTCGAGCACTGGAATGTAACATGAGTCGTGAGATACCGTAGCAACAACACACACACCAGCTGACAGCACCAAGGACACTGGGCAAGCGCGGCCTACTCCCCGCCCTCCGCCTTTACCAACACATGCATCTCAACTACTGGCTTAGGAAGAACTGATGGGTCCGTCCAACCAACGTGGATGGATGGATGGGTGGATGGATAGATTGATGACCCATCACGTTGCCAAAGGCCGAAGAATAAAAAAGAGTCGGATTGCTCGGATAGGGAGGGGTGGGAAACTCATGCCTCAAGCGTTCTCATGTTTTTGTGGCGTTGTGCCCCACAAAAAAAAGCGTAGCACATCCCCCCCCCCGCCCCCGCCTCCCGCCTCTACCGTGGAAACCTATGTACATTCCCTTCACAATTTAGTGCGCCACTGCTACGTACTCTCCAAAGCAGCCAGAATCAATTCGACGCGCTCGTGCTCGTCATGGCATTCGCGACACCTCATACCCGGCTGCCTGTCCATCCCCCGTTCTGACACGCTGGATTCCTGAATTCTGGCGGTGATTGTCATCATGCGGCTCTTTCGTGTCTACTGCTGGAAGAGACACCACAACAATATGCCCGTGCGTGCGACCGCCAAGAAAACATGCATGGTTGTAAGCCCACCAGAAAGGCGGCGAAAAGCACACAATAAAAGCTAGGCCTACACACTTCATCTAGAACACACGGCGAGGAGCACCCTCTCCGCAACCACCCCCCACCCCCGCCGGCCCCTGTCTAGAAACTCTCGGTGCGAGGGATACAAGTCTCAGCCGTTCATGATGCATCGCACAGAAAAAAAGCCTCGTTTACGATACGCCCGGGGGCTCGTTTGTCTTAATTTGGCGCGGTGCGACAAACAACTCGCGAAAAAAAACACAACCGCGCACGCACCGCACGCACACTCACCAAAACACACGATAAAACCACACCAAAATCAAAAGCACAAAAAGCGCGCATCTATCAACCCATGGACCGCCCCCCTCCCTCCCTCCCCCCCCGTCCACAAACCCGACACACAAGCATGCACCGTTTTGTACCGTGCGTTGAAGATGTACATTGGCCAAGCGCTCCTTGGTTATTTACAGACCCAAACTTTGTTGCCTCTCCAACCGGCTGGGATCAAGAGCTCTAGGAATGGGTCGTTCGAGGCACCGTCGTAGCCTCCCCTCCGGCGCACTGCAGAGTGTACTGAACCATTGAAGCCGGTAGATGCCACCCCCCCTCCTCCACCGCCGGGGGCACCGTAACCTTCCCTCCGAAAGGGGGCACAGCAGATTGTACCGAACCACTCAAGCCCGTAGATGGTCCCCCCCGGTTACGGTGGCCACCACCGCCGCAGCCGCCGAAGAAGACGCACGCTGCTGAACCCCCTCCTCCCCCTCCTGCTTCCGCTCCGCGTCGACCCCGCCGTGGCGAGGCGGCCGGACTCCCCACGACCCACCCTCCACCTGCTGCTGCTGGTGCCTGCGGCGCACGAGGCCCTGCGGGCGGCGGAGCGAGGAGCGGTGCGTGGTGACCACGGCGCGGAGCCACGGGTGGGAGAGCAGCTGGAGAGCCGACGGGCGGTCCTCCGGGTCGCGGGCCAGCAGGCGGCGCACGAGATCCTTCGCCTCGGGGGAGACGTGTCTGAGAGCCTGGGGGACGGGCGGGAGTGCGCACGTGACAAACATGTTGCGCGGTGATTTTTCGTGGTTGGTCGGTGGCATGTTTTATCCTTCTTCGTTCCCTGCGGCGTGTGCTGCAATTCGGGGCGTATTTATGTATACATACCGCCAAAAAAAACAGAAATAGCAGTCGCGGCATGCATCGAAGGAACCTAAAAACTTACCCTTCCCTTACATCCGTGATACCATGGCAACATCTACCGGCCACCGCTAGAAGTGCTACACCCACGCCCCCGAGAAAGGGCGGTGGAACCACCAGCCCGCAAGCCCACCCACACCACACAAAAAGCCAACCCGAAAATCAACACAACACCAAGGGTACGAAACACACAAGGGCCTGCCTACTTCACTGTCCTTACCGCAGTCCTCCCTCCCTCCATCCGTACCCGTACCCTAACTTGGCAGATTCAATACTTTGTCCATGATGTTTGCATGCTTGGAAACACCTGCGCATGTAGGCTACTGCCTCACCTTCAGGTCCGGTTCCATCTCCGCCACCCTGCGCGCCAGCTCGGCCTCGGACAGGTCTGAGTGGGCGCCGAACGGGTGCTCGCCCGTCAAGAGCACCCACATCACCACGCCCAGCGCCCACATGTCTACCTGCCGGTAGTCGTCCACCGATTGGCGGGAGAGCACCTCGGGGGCGCTGCAACCGAGAAACCGGACATTGGGAAGAGGGGGGTGGGTGGATAGGGGTAAATGTAAAGGAGGGAGGAGGGGGGACGGGGGGGGGGGGCAGTGCTGTGTCGAGTACGCGGGCTGTTTGTGGGAGTAGAGCAGAAGCAGTGAACTCGGAGAAGAACACATTTGCCATGAAAATATCACATTTCCCCATGAACGAACTTGTTTTTGTGCGATCACTCAATGACGCCAGCCGTCGAGCGTTCCCCTCATACACTCACCACTGCAAACTTGAGGGACAGCAACGACGTACACTGGTCTCAGTTGTTTCGGCAGCCGACATTGCTCGCTCCAAAAGGCATACTGCCCGCGTGTGTCAAAAATTGAGGGGCGAGCCTGGGCTCCACAAGCGGTGGGGTAGTTCCTAGAACCCAAACCTCATCCTACTCCTTCCGCGGAGCAGACGGACGATACACATAGTTCTCAACGGCCAAAGCGAATCATGCTGTTGAACTGCATGAACGTAAGGGTGTGAATCTCTGTAAACGACTCTCCGAGCAACCCCAAATCCCTTTTGTCGACTATACACATGAATAATAGGGTATGAATCTCAAGCGGGTTGACCAAGGTCACACGGGGTTCAAACAAACTGCTCCTGCTCCTGCTGTTGGTCTTGGTGCTGTACAGTACCTGTAGGCGGCGGTGTAGTCTCGAGCGGAGCTAATCTGGCGGTACTGCCTGAAGGCCGACCCGAAGTCCGCCAGCCGCACCTCGGGCACGCAGTCATCACCGCCCACGGCTTCAGGAAAGCAAACAAAACACAAAACACACGTTGCAAAGAAAACAAGAGACAAAAAACGACGTTAGTGCTGTCATGAGGGTTTGCGAAAAGCGAGGCGCTTGCTTCTCTCAGTGTTGCTTGGGTTGACCCCTACTTAATTATTTTCTACAAAGGTGTACCCCCTTTGTTGGGGTACAGCAGTTAGCTTGTGACTACGGAAGGTGTCCGCGTCAGTTGGACCAGCACGGACAATAGAAGGTACTGAGCGGAGACCGGAACGGTTTTTTAAATGTGAAGACAACAACAACAAGACAACTGCTTAGAAAGAAGGAGAGCAACAGGCGGTCGACAAGGCGCTGACACGAAAAACAACCACACCACAAGACACCACCCAAAAAAAAAAAACGTCGCTGTCTTGGACGCATCCACACAAAGCTGTATACCCACGACAACACAAGAAATAGGAGCAAATGATAAACGTCGTCCTACATACACGTTCAACAATACGGTAGCTAGCTTCGTCCTCACCGAGCATGATGTTCTCCGGTTTCTGCATCGACACCAAAGAGTACCGTAGTCCGAAAGTCAGCATCCAGCCACCCATACACCGACAAAAGAGCAGCAGGAGACAACAGGATGAGGAAGGGAGGAGGTAGAGTGACGTCACGCTTCATGCATAAAAGGGAGAAACGCCGTCATCATTTTATCGTCACAATTCATCGGTAATACTCCAAGTTAGCAAGGTCTCCTCTTCTCTTCCCTCCTCCTTCCTGTAGACCAAACGCTCGTCGTCAAAGCCTCAACAGGGCGGTACAAGCGAAACTCGCACCAGGCTAGGCATAGTAGCTACAACACGGATACCACGAGAAAAAACACACACACGCACCAGGTCGAAGTGTACGATGCCATTCCTGTGCAAGAAACCCACCGCCGATGCCACCTCCGCCATGATACGCGCCGCTTGTCCCTCAGAGTAACGACCCTGTGGAGACAAGAGAACCATCAGCCCGCAAAATTCGACCGCACCAGTTTTTTAAAAAGATGGGAAGGGACCGATGACCGTGTGGAGGGGATTGTGCAGGGGCGAGGGGGGGGCTGGGGGGGGGCATCACACCACGCGAAAGTCTGGCCTCAACGGTGAAGGGGGACCAATCAAAACCACGTATCGGCGGCACCGGGCCAGGGGAGTAGCATGTCCCCTCCCTCGCTTTCACCGAAGTGAGACAAAACGCGGCGAAACTCGACTGCGTGCGAACTGCTGTATTCAGACGGCATGACTATTGACGAGTGTACGTGTCACGAGAAGGTAGTCATGCATCCGCATTAGACGCTGCTTACAGCAGTGCACATGTCGCGGAAGACAAGCAAGGACATACCATGACACGCGCGTACTCGCACGCCATCCGGGCTACAAACCACAAGGCACGACACACGCACAAGAATTCCGCCGCTTCTGCAACACAGCAGTCAGGGCCCCTATACAGGGCGGGTGAGTGTTAGGCCGATTCTTGCCCCACACCCCATACCTCACACCCCCCTAGCGCGCACCCGGCAACCACCCTATCCAAGGAAACAAAACGTTATATTAATTAGGACTATTCTTTCACCTGCGCTGCGACCACCCGCCCTACGAGAGGACCTACAGCAAGCAAGCCTACGAGCCCGCCAACAAACTGAGCACGAGGCGACTGCGGGAGAAATTGCACCTACTCGTGGAACAAAACTGCGCACAAGACAAGTTGGGGAGAAATATATGTGTACTTGTACTCGTAGCAGGAGTACACAATACACCAGAGTACCTAACTCACCAACCAGCTGGGTGCAAATACATGTCTCCCCCACCCATCTTGGGGCACCCCTGGGCCCCCGGCTGATGGATGCAAGCGTCCAGCACAACAACTTGTACTTCCAAGTACTTCACTTCACCACTTCACCCCCGAAGGTGATAATGCTGAACGAACGAACGTCCAGGAGGCACAGACGGAACGATGAACGCGCAGACACGCAAGTCGTCGTCGCGTTGTGTGCTGTATCCCGCTACAGTATTGTACAAGACTACTCAAGCCTTTTTCATGTTTGGTCAGCCGGTTATTGCTACTGCTGTAGCGCGGTCGATGCAAAAAATCAACACACTCACACACAACCTAGGCAGCCATGGCGCGGTTCGATGCTAAACACCAAACGCACGCACGTGCACATATATTTACACATGTCAAAAGTTAGGAACAACAACTGCAAATACAGCACTGGTGAGAAAAAAAAAGAAAAAAAAAGTCACCTTGTCAGCGAGGCGGTGGAACAGCTCCCCTCCCTCGCACATCTCCATGACGATGTAGTAAGCCTCCTGGTCCTCGAAAAACGCCTGCATGGTAACCACATTCGGGTGTTTCCCAGCGACCTTGAGCATCTGCACCTCTTCCATCACCTGCACGGGTGTGTTGGACGTGCGGGGGGCGGACAGCGGGCGTGGGGGGGGTCTTGCGTTATAACTGAGACTCAGATGTTTTCTCCGTACGTAAACTGAGCCTCAGATGTCTCCTCCGTTTATAGGCAAAATAAATACTTGCAAGACGCAATACCTTGACTCCTGGTAAACCGAGGGGGCTCGTCAAACGCAAGGGGTAAGGGTTGATGCACTGCTGCCCCCCCCCCCCTTTTTTCGGGCGCTACAGCCAGTTTGGTCGAAGCGCTCGTTGTTTGATACACACGAAGTTAGTTTCACGAGCCCCCTGGAAAAACCAAGCTACAGCGGTCAGATAATCCAAGACATGAGATCATGTGATGGGAGAAGGGCGGTGTCTCATGTACGCCCATGCGTCGTCGGCACAACTTGGAAACACTGCTCAACAAACAATTTGCTGGGTTAAGGATGGAAGTGTGATGCAACTGCTGTTGTTGTCGGCTCTGGAACATTGCCGCGCTGCTTTGGGCATCAAAGAATCATGCGCGGGGGACATTTTCCGGTTGAACAAGGGTAGTCTTTCTGTGTGCATATATATTTTCCTTAATTAAATGAGTTGTGTCAAGCGACCCCAACCTTGTGAAAAAAAGGGAGGATGCTCTGCTGTACGGGGCTTTTGAGAAAATATTATAGCACTTCATTACAGCAAAGAAAGGTTGTTGTGGTGTACGTCTTATTCTACGAGAAGAGCGCGGGTTTTCCGTTTTCCGCCGCTGCAAATAGAGCTTTCTTGGAGAACCTGTTCATCAAATTTTCGCTAAAATTTTCGCCGCGTTCAAAGAAAGGGAGGACGTGCACGTACTGCCGTATGCATGCATGGTACCAAATGTCTACTTTTGTGGTGTGATGATGTCCGCGCATCGGACCTCTCGAGTGTAAGAGAGGGAAGCGTAGATGACGGTGGTATTATCAGGCGGAAAGTGCGACGAAAAAAGCGTGACTTCAAGAACGAAAAAATACCGTGGCTCCCATCCGTGGGTAGAGATCGGTCCGTTCGAGTAATGCATGTATATCGGTTAGACAAGAAAGTCTCAAGACTATTTTCTTAGTAGAGATGGATTCGTTGGGTAATACGAATTAAGAGTAAACTGAAAAAAAAAAAAAGCAATAGAGTCGCTGACACAGAAAAAAGTCGTTGTTTGAAACGTGGTATTTCTTTCACACTTATCCGGCGGCGACGCGAAAGACAATTCTTGTTAAGACTACACAGCCCGGTTGTGTTCCTCGAGGGATAAAAGTGATTTTGCATGTGGAAAGACACTGCTGCGGCCAGTTGGGACGGCTCTGCACTCTGTACGCTGGATTAACGCCAAGAGACCAACGGAACACGACCACGCTTTGTATTGTAATAAATAGACGTAATACATGTAACACCAAACACAAAACCTTCCAATATCGGTGTTTACAGTCAGAGAAGAGAGCCAGTTCTCTAATTCGCCTCCGGATAAGTCTACAGACAGCGGTTACGGACGTGGCCATGATAGTGTAAAGCCGGGGTCAAAGTCCACTCAAACATACCGTAACCATCCCTCCCCGCGCACGCTCCCTGCTGAAAAGCTCAGATGCAACGTCTGTATCTGCTGCCGTAATCTCTCTCACTGACTGCAACATCCCTATTGAAGTACACAACAATGGTCCATATGTTGCTAATCATGACGGGGGTGAAAATAAAAAGGGTTGATGCCATGAATTACAGGGTGTATCGCAGTACTACTGCGTACCCGAGATCAACCAGGGACGGGAAGCGATCCTTGCGTGCTCCTGCGTTGCTGCTCACCAACTGGCAGCTGCGTTCGGAGGTACAAATGTTTTTCGGACATCGATGATACTGCCGCTGGTGTCAGCTCAACATCGTCAGGAAGGCACTCTTTGCCACCCATAAATATTTACGGGAACGCTGTTGAAAAAACAAAATAAGTACAACATCAAGCCGAGCAGAGAAAACGCTTCGACCGTCTTCCCAACCCTGCTCCTCTGCTACTGCTGCTGCTGCTGCTGCCTACGCTCGCGGACACTCCCCTCCTCTTCCTCGTGCCAAAGAGCGGACGGAGAATACTATTCGGAACTCGGAACTTGAACCCCAAACACCCCAAAGGACCCGGTCTCTGACGCAACAACGTGCACTACAACCTGCACGTGCAACAACCATCGTACCACAGCCACAGCGCCGCAGCACTAAAAACACCAGAAAATGAAAACCCACTGGTGCCGCGGGGGCGCGACAACTTGCTTACGCACCGGCGCGCCCGCTCTCTCTCTCTCTCTTCTCTCTTCTCTCTTCCTCCCTGAAAAAACTCACCTCTAAGCGAGTAGTCTCCGCGCGCGCGAGCCTCTTCACAGCCACGGGTTGCCCCGTCAGCCGGTGCCTCGCAGTGCTCACGACGCTTCGCTGTCCTCGGCCGATGACCGGCTCCGCGGCGCCTTCGAAGCAGTACACGTCGGTGATGCTCGGCGCCGGCGAGCGCGGCGCCGGCGGCGCCGGCGCCGCTGCGCTCGGGTCCAAGCAGGACAAGGCCCTCGCGCCGACCTGTATCACTTCGCTCCCGCAGCTGCTGCTGCTGCTGCTGCTGCTGCTGCTGCTGCTGCTGCTGCTCCTGCTGAGCATAGAGCCACCCTTGTTGTTCTGGCTGTCCGAGCAGCAGGCCTCTCGGAAAGAAGACCCCGCTGACGCTACATGCTGGTTCCTCGACGCTGCCGCTGCCGATGCATCGCACCACACCCCGCTCCTGCCGCCGCCGCCGCCCGCCCTGTCGTTGCCCCAGTTGGTGGTGTCTCCTCCGACCTTGTCGTTGCCCCAGTCTCCTCCTCCCCCCGACGATGTCGCCGCCAGAGCTCCTGCCACAGCCACCGCTCCCGCCAGAAATTGCCCGCCGAAGCTGATGCCATCTGCTCCAACAAACCTGTCGTCGGACCAATCGCCGCCGCGCCGCGCAGCGGAGGTGACGCGCGCGGCGCTAGTGTAGCTCCTCCTCCCGCCGCCGCCGCCGGTGGTGGATGGGGCTGAGGTCAGGGACCTGCATCTGCCGAGCGTTCGGTTCGGGGCGAGAGCTGCTGCTGCCGAGCCTGCTGGTGCTGGTGCTCCAGGTGGGGACACCGGAGGGGTGCCATGGAAGCTTCTCCTCCGCGCGAGGCCGTCGAGACCGCGGATGCGAGAGCGTCGGGCGATGCCGCTGGCTGCCGACGCCACAGCTGCTGTACTCATTCACGTGCGTGCTTTTTTCTCTCTCCGGCCCTTTTGTTCTTGGGAGTGTGTGCTCGCTCTTTGCGCCTCGCCCTCTGTCGTTATTCGTGTTCCTATTGCTGCTGCTCGCGCGTGGCAATAAAAAATCACGCGCGAACAACAACGACCAGCAATTTTTCTTGTCAAACAAAAGAGAGGGGAGGAGGGCACGACGCTCCCCGGGCAAGCGACAGAAATACCTTCAAGTTCACGGCACGTCCACCTGCTTCCGGTCAAGAGGGCCCTCCAAACACCACGGTGCGACTCCGACTCGGGCTGAATCGCACCCAACCTGCACACCCGCTCTCTTCTTCTTCATCTACTTCTTGGCACATCTTTTAGATGGCTCTAAATTTTCTGTTACAACTATTCCTCGTGAAGAAAGAAGAGTATGCACGCATCCTGGAATCTCTAGCTCACCCAACCACTCACGCGCCTCCAGGCACAGACGAACGCACACCTGCTACACGTATACATGCGGCAGGCACTCACCTTTTCGGTCTCGCTATAGCGATGCAGCTTATATTCCTCCTGACCCAAATTCAACGTCTGGCGATTGATGTGGGTGTTTTGATGAGGCGCGTGCTCGGTGGCTGGAGCTAAAAAAAAAAAACATGGCGCGCAGACATTGGCCGGCATGTTCGAAAAGGGGACATGACGTATCATCCCCCCCCCCATATTTCGGCGTGTCATACACACCAAGCGTGTATACCTCTTGCATGTATGTTATCTATCTGGTACAGCAAGGGTGTGTGTGTGCTACTTGTTCGCCGCAGGGAGTGAGAATCCATTGTGTTAGGCGTTGCGTGCTTTGGAGTGAGATCAGCCACGTTCCCCAACTTGCTGGGTTTGGCCGATACGCATGGATGGATGTCGTTGTTGTTGTCCAAGATCCGGGTCTATAACTCACATATCGTCGTATAATAGTACCAAACCACCGCCGTACAGCATTTGCTGCAGTGATGCATATAGTCTATGCACTTGTAATGGAGCACAATAAACCCCATTTGCATACCACACACGCATGCAACACGCGTACTCACCCAGGCCAGGTAGCGAGAGACGACGCACAATAGAACTATTGATACAAACGGCCAGGACGTGCATACACATTTATTTCTCCTCTTTCCCGCTATCACATCCAAGTGACGAATCGTTGTCTGCAAGGACAGTTAAAGGTTGCCGAGGGCGACCCGCATCACTCGGCATATAAGTCTACAGCGAACAAAGAAATACATCTGTATGTAAATTTATGTGTCGTTCTCGCCCCATCATCACAGCAGTGTGTGTGTGTGTGTGTGGATGTTTGACGACGGGTGGAGAGTTGTCCAGAGGAACACGGTGGGGAAACCCTTGCGGCATCGTCAGTGGACGTCGGGGGGAGGGGGGGGGGACCTCCGGCGGACTCAACCGCATGTTCTCCGCGGGGACGGACATGTTCGCTAGTGAAAACCTTCCATGAATGGCCTCGAACATCGCGAGGAATGAATGAATGTAGCCGGCGAATACATTGTACGGCATCGAGAAAGAAAGGCGATGACGACGACGGCGGCGGGCGATGGTTTTCGGGATCTTCGAAGTGCGTGACAATCATGGCGAGTTCAATGTCCACCAAGATTCCACGACCGAACGCGATACAAAACAGGCATCAATCTCAGTGGACCATTACAGGGAGATACTACTCTTCCCCCTCTCCCGCCGACCCCGGTGTTTGCCATCGGGGTTGGGTTTTGTCGCTTTTGGCAGCTATGTTGTAAAACAAGCCGATCACTTCATGAGCATGGCAAGCTGTAACCATGAATGGTGGTCGAGTAGATTATGTTGGGCGGGGTCGAGAAGCCTCACTCCGCGCAAAGGCGATAATCGCACCACGTGGTGTAAAATTGGTCAAGCACCCTCGAGGCAGTTACACAGTGCTTATTACTGTCTCCGGAAGTGAAAGCACCAGAAAATCAATTAAGTCATACGAAGCCGTCATCCGTACGCAAGGAAGCAAGCACAAGATGCCGAACACCCTTAGCAGGATGGAGCGCACCCTTCATGCGACTCGCCGAGTACCTCACGACGCTTCGCGCCTTGGTGATGTGAGAGCCTGGCCCAGTGAAAACCCGGTGTGCTCCGTCCCGGATTTATAGGGATGCGAGGTGTCAATGGTCTAACGACTACGGCATGCACGACTATGAGTGCCCCCTCCCCCCGCAATCGTCACAACTGCAAGTTAGTTGGCGTCCGAATTCAACAGCATCACACCAACAGCAGTGCCGTCCAGACCTGAATCTCTAGCGGGGCGCACTAACTCAAGACGGGGGTGGTGTGGTAAGTAGTATCCTCCCTGAGAGTACCTGTCTCTGTGGGAGTTCACTGAAATTGAGTGCTGCTACACCATCGCAAGCACGCCGACTTGCGAGCATACCCTGGACTGCTTGTAGTAGCCAATCGGGCACTCGACCGGGAGGGAGACCCGCGAGGGAGCCTGGTGAGGTTGGTCGGTGCTGAACCCCATCTGTTGACATGATCGCGTAAGCAAGGCAACTTTTTCCACAGATATATTGATAGACCAACCAGCACATCAAACCCTACTCGCAAGAGAAACCCCCGGAAGGTTTACACGTATACGTCCACACACTCCCCACTCCCCGACAGCATTCACACGCAACGAATGAATGCAGCTGGCTCCAAACGGAGACCACAAATTCCCTATTAAAATATCAGAGAGAGAATAAACCGCCCGACCGACTCAGTATCGGAACACTACGCCAAGCTCGCTCCCCGCTCCGAGCGACTCGTAGGCCTCCTGGGCCCCGTCCAGTGGAGGCGACGAGGTCGTTAGGAACACGGAGGGCCGCAGCTCTCGCACGAGAGACCACGCCGCCAAGAACCGGCGGTCCTTGTCCCAGCGGTCCGTAAGCCCCGCCGGGAGCCTGCTCACCTGTTTTCGTTTTTGTTTTCGCCGAAACAAGAAATAAATATGTGGACGCCAGACGAATATCGACGGTTCGGATTCCAAAAAAGGGTAGTTGTCGGTCGCCCTGCAGATAAGAGCTCAAAACAACATGCGGTAGACGCACCCGACACAGGGCTGACCCATCCAATAAAAAACATGTTCCCACCCATACACAGCTATGTACTGGTATGAAGGAATGTCACACACAGCGCTGTGACCACCGTCAAGGTGTTGGACCACCCAACAAGAAAATCGTTGGGGTTGCCCAGTCACTTCAGGGCTTCGGGGGGGCAAAACACTCGCCTGAGACGTCTGTATCGTGAGATGGCTGCGGTGGAACGCCATGCCGAGGTTGAGCTGCGCCGCTCCGCCGCCGTACCATGATCCCAGGACAACTCGACCCCCGTACCCGGTCAGGTCTAGCGCGGACTGCGCAGAAAAACGAAAAAAAAAACAAGAGCAAAACAGGCTCAGCTGGACCACAGGAACGGACACAAGCCGTCATGGCGGCGAAAGAAACGGGACGATGGAAGCAACAAGACACCGCGAGCAAGCCATCGGGAGCGAGAAAGAAAGAGAAGAGGAGGAGGAGGAGGAGGAGGAGGAGCATCTTGTGGGAAGTTCCGCAGATCCATCTGATGTTATGCGCGTCATACGCGGGAGGACACAAACGAACCCGTCCGGAAGTATTTGCGGCCACCATGCGAACTTCGGTGGCGAGAATCGATGGAAGCGGGTACAGAAAGAGAGGGAGAGAGATGGACACAGGCTTGTAACTACATTTGGATCATGAACAACCCCCACGTCGCACGAGGCTGAAAAGCCGGCGTGCTCGGATGGATTTTACCCTTCGCTTTTCGCAAACTCGCAAACAGGGCAAAAAAGCCGTTTACCACCACGGGTTTTCCCTTGTTCCACGTCAAACGGCGTTCAACGAGGGAGAAACATCAGCGGCGCTTGACCGTCACTGAAAGAGCCGTCGAGCCCCACCTGAAGGCCCCGAGGGTTGCCGGTGACCTCGAGGGAAACGTCAAATGGCGCCGATTTCGCCGCATCGACCGGCGTAACCGTCGCCGTAGCCCCGAGTCTGGATCCGACAAATCAAAATTATGTGCGGTGCGACAGAGGGGGGGAAAGAAGCGGTGGCCACTTGTGTCGTTTCACGTGTTATTTTTTCGTTGTTCTGGGTGTGCAATGACGCCGAAGATACACAGCACGTGGTCTATTGGTTCCCAAGATACCACATCTGTCGCACGGGAAGCAAATAATTCATTGCCAAATAGTCTACCACGGACTCCTTCCTACCTGTGGAAAAGAGGATTTCCTTCGTCAGAAAAATATAACGTAAAAAAAATAACAGTCTGAGAGCACCGCACACAGTCTAGATCGTTATTGTCCAAGGGGTGTGTATCGCCAACCACTGTTGGTAAGAAGCGCCGTCTTGGTCTCACTGCACTGTGAGGCTCGTGGTCGACGGCAAGAGAAGGTATTAGCTTTGGCGTACGAAAACACCATGCTCGAGGGCTGGACTGCCAAACGGTGCGGGCCCTACTGTAGGTACGCAACACCCCCCCCCCTCTCTCTCGCATCGTTGTGCGAAAGAAAAGTATCGTCACGTCGAGATCTGAACCCTCGGGCCGAAAAAAACAAAACGACCTGTACGAGATACATCCGTGCCCGTCCCGCTTGCAGAGAGAGGAATTTTCTGGGGAAAGAAAACACGCCAGGCTCGCGGTGCCGCACGACGGCGCATATCGACGTTGCTGCGCCACGAAGAAAACGTTGTTGGTCATCGATATTACCTTTCGGCCACCCTGAGCCTGTCCGGAAGCATGTCGACGGCGACCACGGAGCCCCCGCCAACCCCCGCGTGCGTCCTCGCCAGGATGGCGACGGCCAACAACCTGCCCCGCCGACGCAAGGATCGTGGACGCACACATACAAAGCTCAGAAAACCTCTGTCTCGCGGGAGTTGCGCGTGTCGCGGGCTTGCTGATTTTTTTTTTTTTTTTCTCTCTGCAGAGGACGCACAACACGCGGACTTGCACGATTCCACTGAGGTTCCTGGAATCACACACGCCTCTGTATGGAAAATGTTTTCGGTCACTTGGCCGTAAAAATCAAAAGAGCTTGTGCCCATCGCTGCACTCTCGCGGTGCTTGACCGCACTTGGTTCGCTTACAACCACATACCGCTGCGTGTGCTGCTGACGTGCTGCCGAAAATTGTCAGCGCAAAAACAGCAATATACGAGGAACCGCTGTCGACGCCATTCCTCCTAGTCTACGCCGGCGACAAGGGGCGACCAAGGGGGAGGGGGACACTCACCCAATCATCCCCTGGCCGAAGACTGCCACGCTCTCCCCGACCCTGGGATGCACGTCGTGCACTAGCGACAGCGCCGTCTCCACAGCGGGTAGGTACACCGCGTCCTCGGGATCGATTCCCTGGGAAACGGTTTCGAGGGTTGACGTGTGGGCGCGAGAGAGAGCGCTGGCGGTGGTCGATCTCGTCGGCACGACGGGAGAGTCTTACCTCCCAGCAAAGGGCGAAACCCCACCCGACACATTTGTAGTTACCCAGGTGAGGTCATAATGGAGCCAGACACAACATAACACGACCAGAGGAAGGCTGCAAACAATAACATAATCAAGTCCCCCTTTCGCAGAAAAGAGTCTCCGCGAGCCAGACGAAACTTGAGCAAAACAGAGCGAATCGAACGCCCCCCCCCCGCACCAAACGTCCCCTCGTCTCCGCCAGCCAGACACACCACAAACATGAAACAAGAGAAGGCCGCAAAAAGTAAAAGAAGAGAACCAAACACCCCCCTCGCAGACAACGAAACGGTCTCTCGCCCTCCGCGACCCAGATGCAACACTACACAAAACAAAAACAAACAAAAAAACGCGACATCAAAACAAGCGCCTACAAACATGGGAATGCATCCAACACCCCCCCTCGCCAAATACGGCCTCTCGCTTCCGCGAGGCAGACACAGCGCAACATTAACAAATAAAAATGATTCAAACACCCCCCCTTCGCCGAAAAATAACGCTTTCTCACCTCCGGGACAAGCATGACCCCGTCGGCGTCGGCCACCACCCTGGCCGAGTGCGGGCTGAAGGCGAACACGAGCTTCCCCAGAAACTTGTCCGGGTCCACCCCTCCGCCGCACTTCGACACCCGGCCGACCAAGCTGTAGCCGTACTTGAGCGGGTAGGACATGCTTTCGCCGGCCATGCCCTGCCGGGGAGGAGACGCAGCAGAAAAACGCATCGGGCCCGTGTCTTGCGTGTTTTTTGGACGTTTGTATTGTTCTTGCTACACGCTTTTGTCGGGGTACCCTGTCGCCCTTTACGTGCGGCCAGCAAACGTTACCGGTGCCAGGCCACCAACCCGTGTACCGTCAGTTTCCCGCTGCTTGCGCGATTGTACTTCCCGGCGCACGTCTACGGAAAACAAGCGGGACCCTTTGCACACCTTGATGGTGGTGTCTAGCTCCGAGTCCGAGTCAAAGTCTCCCCGGAACACCTTGGAGCAGAAGTAGCAGTAGCAGAAACAGCACACCGCGGTTCGGGCAAACACGTGAAGCAGGAGCGGCGAGGGGCAAGCCACGGACAAAATGACCAGGAAGAGGTAGACAAGCCACGTTGCGTGCGACAATTTCTTTGTGCGCGAGAGGGTACGGACGAGCTGTTGCTGTTGGTATACTCTGAATCGGCATCCACGATGCCACCAACGCTTGTGGCGCATGTACATCGTACCACGAAGGTGCAACACGCAAACTTTCACGCCCCCCCCCCCCGCTGGAAACGGAGGGTCTACAGGGGTTCAAGGAGAAGATATCTGTTGCTTGTGCCGAGAGAGAAGAACAGAATCTAAGGAAAAAACCGAGGATAAGGAGGGTCTAGAAGTGTAAGGAATGTTGAAAGAAGGAATAGGGTTCAAGGATTACCTACATGGACCAATGGATGCAGGGACAAAGCTGAAGGTCAAATTCAGGACCGGGGACATAGACCTTCGAGAACGTCGACGAAGACATAGGACGGTAGACGACGAAGACGACAAGTTCAAATGTGATTGCGGCTTCGAATGCGAAGACCGTGTTCATGTAGTCGCTGAATGTCCGTGGTACGAAGAGGAGAGGGAAGTGTACATGACTGAGCTGGGAAAAAATACAAGGGGACGTACAGGGAGATGTTTGAGGCATGGAATAGAGAGGAGAGGACGGTAGCTGTACTGGGGAGTAGGAAGTGGTTTGAAAAGGCGGGAAGGGATATCGTTACGATAGACAGACTAGGGAAGACATTTTTGAGCCACCCTTGGCAAAGTAGGAAGGAACGATTGGCCATCGGTGATCGGTCCTGTGGGAACAATGCTCCGTCCTCTCGAGGACGCGTTGTCAATGGTCTAACCGCTAAGACATGCAAAACATAAGAGCACGTCCCCCCCCCCCCCCCCATCACCTTCAGCTCCGTCCCCGAACTAATGGACGAGCAAACCGCCTCCACCAAAACCTGCCCTTCTCCCACCGCCCTCTCCTCGTCAAGCTCCTCGTGCCGAACCTCCACCTTGCCGGGGGCAACGAACTCCAAAAAGGCATTGGTCCGCACCACGGCATCAGCGGCGTCTTCAGGATCAGGGGTCCCCGCACTATCACTCCCTGCCGCCGCCGGGGGGGGCGCTCCTTCGAGCCCCCCTCCGGACCAGGACACGGCGAGAGCCGCGCCGATACCTTCCGACGTCGCGCTCCGTTGGCTCCGCCGTCGTGCCGCGCGGTCTTCCAACCCCCCGCCACCACCTATCCAACCCCTTCCTCTCCTTCCTCCTCCTCCACCTCCTCGCAACCTGAAGAGCAGGTCGGCGTTTTCCGCCTCCAGCACGGGGGCCCGCGCCCTCGCCCGACGCACCCACCCCGGGAGGTCGGCCCCTCTCGACGACACCGTCCCCGTTTCCCTCCCCAGCAACGCCTCCGAGTCGGCAGCAGCGTCTGCGACCGTAGCAGTGATGCTGCTGCTGCTGCTGCTGCTGCTGCTGCTATCGGACTGCAGGGGAAGCCGGTGCGGGGCGAGCCCGAGTCCGATGAAGTAGAGGAGGCAGTGCCACATGTAGCCGTCATCGTCGCCGCTGGGGGAAACACGCCACGGGGACGGGGACGAGATCATCACGTCCCCTCCGTGCTCTTCGATGGTCTGCGGGATCAGGGAGAGGAGGGGGGGGGGGGGGGGGGGGGGGGGAAATCCCCC